GACTGTGTAAGCAAAAATGACTAATCCCTGGCTCCCTGACTCCCTACCAAGGACTTATAGTTTCCTCCTTTTTTTTTTGGTCTTTTTGAGACAGGGTCTCCCTGTAGCCCCAGCTGTCCTGGAACTCACTATGTAGACCAGGCTGGCCTTGAACTCACAGAGATCCGCCTGCCTCTGCCTCCTGAGTGTTAGGATTAAAGGCATGCGCCACCACGCCCGGCAGCTTCCTCCTTTTGAACACAAGATGGCACCTTCCCTAGCCAGATGAAAATGGTCCCAACTTGGGGGATTTATGTGTCTGAAACCTGTGTAGGTTTAGACTCTGAGAGTGTCAGTTCACAAAATCTGAGATGACAAAAAAATGTGGTCCACATGTACTAGCAGGCAGAAGTTCACATTAATGAGTGTGGATGTGTGTATGTGAGTGTGAGTGTTGGGGGTTGACTGGTATGTGGAGTGTGAGGAAGGGCAGGGAGTGGAGGTGTGGATGTATATTAGGGGACTTTAAGTGTGGAGTGTCTGAGGGAGTGTGAGGGAGCATGTGAGAGCAGGAATATGATGAGTGTGTATAGTTAATTACAAGGGAATGTATGGAGTCAGTGTGCATGAGTGTGAGTATGAGGAGAAGTGAGTGCAGAATGCATCAGGTACATGTACAAATCAGTGGGAGTGTGAGTGTGTTTATGAATGTGAGTGTGTGTAAGGAGAAATGCAGGGTGTGGTGGTATGAGAAGATGTGTGAGTGTGACTATGGGTGTGAGGTGTGTGTGATTGTGGATGGGCCTAAGTATGGGGTGTGAGGTGTGATGGTATTACAGGGTGTGTTACTGTGGGTGTGTGGGAGTGTGAGGTGTGAGGTGTGAGGCTCTATGAGTGTAACTGTGTGTGAGGGGTGTGTGACCGTGAGTGTGTAGGTATGGGAATGGGGGTGGTCAGCTTCCCACTGCTGCCGGCCTGCAGCTTCCTCCCTGAGAACCCCCTTTTCCAGCCCATCCTTGTCACATTTCTCAGTCTTGAGCTGCCAGCCTGAGCAGGCTAGGGTCCTAGCTGCTGTTACCTCCTCCCAGCCACCCACCTGCTTGTCTCTCCTGAGAGCAGGTGATGAACAGCTTTTACTGAGGAGGTATCTTCACCATCTCCCAGGTGTCCAGCAGTGACTCATGGCTTCCGAATTGGAAAGTTTCCTCCGAGATCTGCCAGGATTTTCTTGCCTATTGGTCCTTACTCCCCCCGCCCCAGCCAATACACCAAGATACCTCCATGTAGACAGCATTAGCCTGGGTGACCAGACTACAAGACTGGTCACCCAGCTGTGCCTGTGGTACTTGTGGGCCTCCTTCTCAGTGTAGAAGTAGCATCCTGACAGCATCAAGAGCTGGCAGCCTTCCTGACCTGCCTGGGAGTAATGTAGGCCCTGTGTAGCTTCTAGCTTGTCCCAGATGGGGCAAGGAAGAGCACTCAGGGACCCTGCTTCCCAGTCTCTATGGCCAAGGACCCAACAGTGGCCCCTGTACCTCCCTCACCCACGGGTCTGGTGGCTTCCTGATCGGCTGCTTTCTCCTTTGTTACCCCTTGGGGGAGATGGACAGCTTGGGGCACGAAGGTTCAGATTCTGGTTCCATCCCTTTCTGACTGTGGTTCTTGGTAAGCATCTAACCCTCTCTAAACTTCAGGTTGTATTAACTCTTTCTTGTGAGGTAACAGTGACTTAATTCAAGTGACATGCTTGGCAAATAGCAGTGGCTATTACTTTATGAGCTCTTCAGTCTCTGTGGCTCTGGTAGCTTCCAGTGACTGTTCTCTGTGACAGAGCCATGGCAGTGGCTGGCCAGCTGTTGGAAGGCAGTCAGATGGGAATCTGCAGCTTTGGCATCCCATCCCTTCCCTGGCAGGAAGCATTGGCACCTGTGGCTCTGGGGAAAGGAGAAGGTGCCGTCTCACCTGTCTAAGGCCAGGCTGCTGCAGGGGTCCATGTTGAATCCTCTCAATCCTATGGTCCTCTTCCGCATCCTCCTTGCCCAGTGTCCAAACCTGACTGAATGCAGCTAGGGAGCGCGTGCATCTTCTAAGGTGGGGAATCCGCCTCTTCTCCTTCTCCCCCCCCTTTTTTTTTTCCTTTACATGACACCTGTTGCTCACAGGTACAAATCAAACGAAGAGTATATATATGTGCGAGGCCGCGGCCGAGGGAAATATGTTTGTGAGGAATGTGGAATTCGCTGCAAGAAGCCCAGCATGCTGAAGAAACACATCCGCACCCACACTGACGTCCGGCCCTATGTGTGCAAGCACTGTCACTTTGCTTTTAAAACCAAAGGTAAGAGACAGTCAGCTGGGGCACACCCTGCCCACAGCAGGGAACCCCCTTGGGGGAAGCTCCCGCATAGAGCCCTATGCCTGGGGGCCTGGAGCACCCCCATATCCTGGGCTCCTACTCTACTCAGTGCCCATGGCAGAGAAGTGGCTCCAGTGAGACTGCTGCCCCAGTCAAATCCTGGACCCTGCACACAGCCCTCCCCTCTGCGTCTGCCTGTCATGCCCACACTCGGTGGTGACTGGCCTACACTTCTTGTTTTTCTATTATCTCATCACCCCTCCTTTGCATGTCTTCAGTGGAGCCGATTGCCTCCAGCATCCACACTTTTCACAGCCACTTTCCCATTCCACTCAGAGCCACTCAGCACACTTGCATGCTGCCCCTCTCCTACCCCTCCACACCACTCCCACCATTCTCTGACCCACCCGCTTCTCTGCAGCTCTGAGCACAGGACCCAGCTGCACACCCACCCTACCTCACCCTGAGACCCTATCACTCTTGCTCCCAGCCATGCACCACATAAGTTCAGAATAGGGTCTGGCAGTCCCCTTTGAGAGGGAGGACTGGCTGTTGAGGGCATGCATCCCAGAGAGCTATGACAGACGATGGCCTGGCCCAGACCCTGGCAGGATGAGTGAGGCCTGGGGTTCTTGGATGGGGCTCTTTCCCTACTCACTGGGATGGTGGGCCTTGCAGGGAGGCCTGGTGCTCAGCACCCTTGGTGAGTTTTGCCTCTTGTGCTTTGCAGATTCCTGGGACAGGGTTTGGACACAAGGTTCCTGCCTTCTCCTCTGAGTAAATTAGAGGTGGAGCCAACAGGGTTCAAGAGACAGAACTCCAGGGCAAACCTTGGCTTTCCACTTGTCTTTTCCACTGAAGGAAAAGAAGCCAGGCAGCATCTGTGGAGAGTGGAACGGAGCCCTCCAGCTCTCGTTGCCATCTGTTCTTGTGATTCTAGGTCAGGGGTCCTTTGTCACGTTCCCCAGCTCAGTGGCCTCCTTTCTGTATCTGTTCTCTGACCCTGCTAGCCGACCCCCTGCCCTCTACCTTTTCACCATCATCTTGAAGCTGAGTTCCTATTTTCCAACCAAAGTTTGGAGTTGGATGGAGGTACCCACCTGCCACTTCCTTTTCTTCGTTCTTCTCTCTTAGTGTCTCAGAAACAATGTCTCAAAGAGTGCTAAGAGGGCAGATAGACCAGAGCCCTAACAGAGCCGGAGCAGCCCAGCATAGCACGTGTAAGCCCTCTGCCCCACTCCCCACCACCCCACACACCCTCCAGTTCCACTTCCTCTGGGGTTTTGTGGAAGAGAGATGGACAGTCTTCAACTCTGAATGTGTAGAACCTGACCAGGCCAGAAGAGACAAAGAAGGCTCTTGTCCCAGCCCCAGAGGCCCTGTGCCCTGGTCTTCCTCCACTGAAGGAGGCAGTCTCTGAGTGGACACCAGAGCAGCCTCTCTCCCAATGTGTATATGAGGGATTGTGCTGCTTCGTCCTCAGCATGAAGAGCCCTAAGGGAACTTTCCACCTGCGCTGTGCACAGTGCACCTGTGCCCAGTCCCCAGATCCCCAGAGAAGCCCCCACTCAGTTCCTTTGCCTCACTCACTGTCAGATCTGAGCATTGCCTCGGCCATCAGGGATCCCCCACTGTCCAGGCAGTGCCTTCCTTGGAAACAACGCCCAGCCTGCCTGCAATACTTTCTTTGGGTCTCTCTGAGCCACCCCAGGTCTAGGGCTGGGGTGTCACAGTCTGAGGGCTGTGACTTTCAGAGAGCCAGGGATACAGAGGATCCCCTCAGGGAGGCTGGGCTTTGCTCTTGGCCAATGAGGAGCAAGCTGAACTCTTCCTCCACTGTGCCTCTGAGCCAGGAACAGTGAGAAGCAGATCTGAACTGTGGAATCTCGGAGTGATTGGTGGGTGACAGTATACGGGAACAGAAAGAGGTTCCCTCAAGTGTGAAAGGAGGACAAGAGGCTAGAGCAGCTGGCTTTCTCTGGGCCCATGTCTCTGAGGCCCTGTCAGCCCTTAGCTCTGAAAACATGGGCTCCCCCTCTGCACTCAGAATGTCTGCCTGCCCCCCAGCTCCCTCTTACTCTTAAGTTGTGGCTCAGGACAGGCCATGTGGGCACTGAGGCTGGGCCCAACACCTTGTCTTCACCACCTGGCTGTGCTCGTGCCAGGAGGCCCTTCCTGTCTGTCTGTGTCTGCCTGTCTGTGTCTTGTCTTTGTGTCACAAGCTGAGGTGGCATTCTGGTCTCTCAGAGCTCCCTGAGAAGCGTCTCGGTAGGTAGGGTAGGAGGTGGCAGGCTGGCCCTGTGAAGGGTCCCTTTTCTCTTCTCAGAGCCTTCCTAGAGGCCGATGGGTGTCTGGGCTTTGGACAGGCCCTTGCGTCGATTATCTAGGGAACAAAGATGGCAACTGTGGACAGGCCCACGTTGAGCCCAAGGTGACTGGCTGGTGCCCCTACTGGCATCGATTCCTCACCCAGACCATCTGCATTTCCATCCACTTTCTCATTCTCCACTCCCAGATGCCAGACTGGGTTTTTGGTGGGGACTGGGTTGACTGGAAGGAACTGTGGACTCTGCTGGGCAGGCCTCCTCCCTGCAGCCTTATAGAGTGGTCACAGAGAAGGGACAAGGCCTTCAGAGTAAGGGCTCCCTCCGTCTTCTTCTGAAAGTGCCTGAGGTCCCTACTGAAGGTGAGAACATCCTGTGCTCACCAGTCTCCTCCATATTCAGCAAGGTGCCTGGAAGAGTCAGAGCTGGGGATGTAGCTCAATGGTAGAGCACCTGCCTCTCAGGCACAAGGCTCTGGGCTCCATCCCCAGCAACATATTAAAATAAACAAAAGAGATCGTCATGGAAGATGGGGTCCGCCTGTCCCAGCCATACTCTGCTCCCATGTGCCTTGGCTTGAAATCCTCCCAACGTCCCTATGAGGTAGGTTTTACTTTACAGCTGTAGAAACTAAGGCCCAATAGGGTGAGATACTTTGAGAAGCTTGCTGAAAAGCAGTGCAGAGCCCAGAGTCCCCCACCCCTAAGCTATCCAGCTCAGAAGCCATCCAGTTCCATTCTTCTACTTCAAGACCAGCCAAGCCCCCCGGGTCCAGAGACCTGGATCTAGTCAGGGCTTAACCCCGGCCAGCTCTGTGGCTCTAGGCCAGTTGCTTCACTGTGCTGGGTAACAGGAGCCCTATAAGCGCAGTACCCAAGAGAGCTGGGAACCTTGCCCAATACTGGGCCAGCACCTAAGCCCAGAATTAGGTCAGAAACAGTGAGGATGAGCCTAGTGAGATTGAATGACATGGTCTGCAAGGCTCCTCCCACCACTTTGTTTCTAGGGTGCATTTCCCATGGGGCTATTACTCTCCATGTCTAGTGTGGTTGAATAGAAACCTAAACCTTTCAGGTAAAACGTGTGTGACAAATGACACCAGTGAAGCAATGTTTATGTCCTTTGTGACTGAAGGAACTCAGGGGAGGGACCCAGGTGCCAGAACCTCAGGAAGGTTGGCATTGCTGGTCTGCAGAGGAACCCAGCTGCCTTTTCTTACCTCCTGCCTGCTCTACCCAGATTTGGCCTGCTTATAACAGCATGCATGAAGGTTTACAAGACTGGATAAGGAGGTTTCTGTTCAGCTGCAGGAGGAAGCCACAAGCTGGGCAGGGCAGAGAAGGAGATGATAAGTGGCAGAGGAGGAAGAGGTATCAGCTCCTCTCCAATCCCTGCCACTCTATTTACCCACCCTAGGAAATCCCGCTTATGCTTCCTCAGGAGCCTCAGCAAAACCTGAAACTTCTAAGTGCTGACGACCCCTTGTTTCAGGCACGAGCTCTCCCGGTGTTCACCTACCTGTCCATCTCTCCTCCCATCATCCCTCTTTCCCACCCTCTCATCTTCCTATCTATTTCCCCACCCACTGATTTTTCTCACCCTCCCATTCTTCATTTGTCTGCCTACCCATCCCCTTTCCCTTTTACCATCCTGCCTGGCCTCCCATACATTCACATGTGTAGACATCCATCCTTCCACTTAACCAGCATCTTCTCTGTTCATGCCTTCCTCCATCCTCCCATCTGTTTACTGACCAATTTCTATTCATCCTTCTATGTATTTTCTTCATCTACTCGCCTGCCCTATCTGTATCATCTGCTTACTTACTCTGCTGGTGTCCCATCCATCCGTCACTCTGTTCCTATTCTTTCTCTCCATATTCCTCTATTCAGTTCTCCAGCCATCCATCCTCCAGTCACTCTGTATATTCATTCCAAGATCCTTCACCTTTTTAGTCTACTCTCCTCTATTCATCCATTCAAACTTAGTTATTAAAGGCCTGTGAGACAATGCACCTGACTCAGGGAACTTCTGATTTGTAATGTGATGAACCATGTGGAAATATAACAGTCCTCGGGGCACAATACAAAAGGACATCCTGTGACACCTGCCTGTGTTCTCTAGAGACAGAATGGGGAGCTAGGCCTCTCCCAAATGCTATTGTCCACAGAGCTGATCACCCTGTGGCCTGTGAAGTGTGCACACAATGGGGCATTTGAAGCTGTTGCTCCTGTTGCCCTGACCCCAAGGAGCTGCAGCCCCTCTTCTGAATCCCATAGGCCTAGACCTACAACTTGGGACAACTGCCAGCTCCCCTCAGGGCTTCATAAGCATGGTGCAGGGAAGAGCCTTGGACAACCCTTCCCCAAAGCACCCTGGGAGTGTCTGTACTGTACACTGGCCTGGAGAAGTCCCCAGGAAGGGGACTTATCTAAGGGCCAAACTTGGGTCCCAGCCTGTGGCTCCCACATCCCTGGACAGCAAACCTCCCTGCTCACACCTCTGTCCTCTCTCCAGTCCTGCAAGTAACTACCCTGGTTCTTTTGCCCAAACTGAAAGGTTCAGCCTTGTGGGTGGCCTAAAAGTGTCCTCAGCCAGGACTTCTCAGTCCTCACCTACTGTGTTAGTCAGTGGGAACCCCACGTCATCCCAGCACTAAAGACAGCCAATAATCTTATCTGAGTGTGTCACCAGGTCCTGGGCCTAAACTTGTGAAGTAAGAAAAATCTACTGTACTGTACGGCAGTCTTTTAATTTGTTTGTGTTTGAACCAGCATCTCATGTTCTCATCGTACCCTCCTCATTGCACCCCCTCCTCAGTCCAGCTCCTGTGCTCTATCTTCATCAGCAGCTCTGACTGCATGACCTGACCTGGGCACTGGGGCAAAGGATGCCCTGGACCCTACCCAGTGCCTGCTGGCAGCCCTGTGCTGCCTCCATTGAATCCCAGCCCTCCTTGCCCTCTCCGTGCCACCAAACCTGAGTCTATTCTCATTTCTTTCCAGGGAATCTGACTAAGCACATGAAGTCGAAAGCCCACAGCAAAAAGTGCCAAGAGACGGGGGTGCTGGAGGAGCTGGAAGCCGAAGAAGGTAGGGAGTCGCCGGCCTCCTCTCTCCCTGACCTCATCTCTGTTTCCCGGCTCTCCTCTGCTTTTCCCCTGGCCCTCCCCTCTGCCCCCTCTCTACTACTGTTCCTTTTCCCCTCCCCCTCACATATCCTCCCCCTCCAGTTTTCCCAACAATTGGGAAGCAAATGTTAAATTTTCAGAAGGTCCCCCCATGCCATACAGCTTAGCTACTGTGCAGTGTAGTGTAGCCTAGTGTATCAGTGGACTGCCAGCACCCCGTGGGTGCTCAGTGAATACTTGCTGAATGAATGAACGCATCATGAGTAACTACAGGCAACACCGAGTGCCCACTGTGTGTCAGGAACATTCTAAACACATGCCCTGAGTTGTCTTAGCAAAGCCTCAGCGATTCTGCTGGTACTGTGCAGGTAGAAGCTGCATACGCATCCTCTATGCCTGGGCTTAGCTTGTGGGCCTGTGGAGCTGACAGTGTCCCTGGGAAAGGCAAAGCCAGATCCCACAGCCCCTGTCACTTGCCATTCCTGTCCCACCACCACATCCTGGCCATAGTCCTCTAGCACCAGAGGCAAGCTAGAGGCAGTCTGATAGCAGATAGGGCAGGAGAGTAAGGAGGGAGGCCAGGCAGAGGGGGTCGTGGCAGGTGGATGGGCAGCTCCTCCAGCGATGACAGGCCTTAACTGCAGATTCCCTGACATCAGGATCAGAATTTAGTGTGATGGGGTGGGGGTGTTTTTGTTTTTCTGATTTGGGGGTACATTTGCAGTCTAGTGAGAGTTAAATCATGTTTCCTTTCATATCAAACAAATCAGTGTTAGAGAACTATGAACTGGAAACTGTGCCTCCCCAAACTACAATGCATGGCCCCCATGCTTGTCAAAAATACACATCAGACAGCTAGAAAGATGGCTGTGGTTAAGAGCACTAACTGCTCCTACAGAGGACCTGGATTTGGTTCCTATTACCCACATGGTGGCTAACAACCGTTGGTAACTCCAGTTCTAGGGAATTCAACACCCCCTTCTAACCTCTGCAGGTATTGCACACATGGATGTACTTACAAACATTAAGGCAAAACACTCAAATGCATAAAATATTTTTTTTTTAATTTTAAAAAAATTTTAAAGAATGCACATCAGGCAGTTTTAGGCCTTGTCTCATTGAGGTTCATTAACAAGCAATAAAAACTTGTTTTGTCCCATTTCAATCAGAGAAAAGTAAATCCATGAAAGTCAGGGCCAACTTGGCTGTCCTGTATCCTCCAGTGAGAGGAGTGTGGTGCGAATATCCTTTAACCATCTCTGACACACCTCTGGCTGTGTACAGGGAACTCCAGCAGGGATGCAGGGATGCAGTGGTCCAGGCCATGGACACACGGACACAGACCAGGGGAGTTCAGTGCAGATGAGAAGTGGTCGGATTCAGAGGTAGAGCCCCGGGATAGAAAGAGAAAGGGGTATGGGGGCAGGGATGATTCTGAGGTTGGTGGCCTAACAGACTAAAAGGATGAAATTGTCACTTCCCACACACAGACAGATTCAGGGAGGGACATCAGGCGCTAGGCAGTGAGGTAGGACAGCTTGGAGGGCACCAAGCCAGGGGTATAGCTCCCTTGCAGAGGCAAGGTTGTGCACCACTGCCACTGTGTGGCAAGTTTCAGAAACTGCACCCAGCCAAGGGCTTGCCTTGAGTGCCATCCTTGATCCCAGGGCCCACGATGGCACCAGCTTGCAGATAGGGCTTGTTGAGCACTGATTTCAGCAGTGGCAGGGAAGCTCCATATGGGGCATCAGGCAAGGGCATCCTTTAGAGCCCTGCAGGAGTCTGGATGTGGAGTGTGCCAGGAGCCTGGCATAGTGTGCCCTGGGGAGGACTTCCATTATTCATGCACTAGATGTCCAGAACAGAGCATTGTACCCCTGGGTTTCAACTGCCTCCCTAGAAAAGAAAGTCTTTGGGGACCATCTTGATGGATATCAGGAGATGCTGGTCCTGAACTTCCTCCCCTAGTAACATCACCCCTCCAGCCTTCATCTACAAAATGCTCACAGTGCTGCCCTTCCTCTGAGATGGGGAAGAGCAGCTGGAAACAAAGACAGCTACGGCTTCCTCCTCCCTCACTGTGAAGACACTGCACACAAAAAGAAGTAAGTTAGCCAGCATCGCCCATGCTGGAGCAAGGATTCAAGTCCAGACCACATTCTGCTTCTCAAAGCATAGAATCATTTTTGAACTGTCAGTGTAAGAAGACAAAGGCTATGAGACTTAGTCTTGGCTAGATGATCTTGGGCATGCCATGGCCTTCTCTGTGCCTGGGTGCCACTGTATGAGTGAGGAGCAGGCCTGAGTGAACTCCTAGGGCTGCAGTGGGCTCCTTCCAAACTCCTAGACCAAGGGACTAAATACCTGGTGCCAACTGCAAGGCTTTGCCTCTTGTCCCCACCTTTCTTCCTCCCATTCCCATCCCCCGTTCCCTTTAGGACCTTCATCCTTCTGCTCCCAGCTGCCAGAAACTCTGCTGTTGGTCTCATGACCCTCCCTTTACTGCCCACCCCTGCTTCTACCCCCAGAGATTTTGGTTTCCATCCTACTGAGTGTGCATGTCACCTCCTTTGGTACCTTACTGCTGTCCACTGAGGTATTTGGCCACACTGATGCTGATCTTTCTTGGCGTGGTAGAGAGCTAAAGCCAGTGCCCCAGAGTTCTGGGTCTGCTGTGGTAATCAGCTGTCCTGGTTAGGAGAAGATGCAGTTCTGGTGTGTGTGAGCGATAGGGCTAGTGGATGGCTCAGCCCACCTGTCACCAGCCTATACTTTGCATGTCACAGCAGTCTAGTGATGGACCAGTAGAACCCAAACCTTCGGCGTAATCTGCAGAATGCAGAAGGCTTTCCATTTCAAAGATGTCTCAGTTTAGACTGTTAGCAAGGGCACGGCTTCAACCCAGCTGGTCGAAGCCTCTCCCCCATGAGAAGTCGGACCAGGAAGCTGGCATTCAGAGCCACTGCTCCTCAGGGCAGAAATGACAGGGGTGGGCCCTACCCTGCAGCCTAAGACCAGCCTAGCCTAGCCACCTACAGAGGCCAGACTCTGCCACCTGCCAAAAGCTCTGTTGGCCAGCAGCAGCCCGGTCATGTTGGCATCTGCTGTGCATTTAAACTGACTGTGACTGTCTGCTGCGCTAGCCAGCACACCCTGTCTCACAATGATAGATGTTATCATTAATGGACTCATAGTGGCTATAATTACTTGGGCCCTTGCTGTGTGCCAGGAATATATTTTTTCCTCCTAGAAAAACCCATGCAGTGAGACATTCATTTGACAAAAGGAGAGACTGAGGCACAGCATTGTGACTGGCCCACAGTGGAGCCAGTGCTAGGAATATGAAAGCAGGCTGTCTCGTTTGCTCTGGTATGGTGCCAGACCTGCTACTTCCTTACTTGGGCAAGTTACTTAACCACCTTTACCTCAGTTTCCTTATCCACAGTGTGAAAGTAAGTACAGAATCACCTTCATGGGATTCTTTCAGAACTACATGAATTAACATACCTAAAGCCCTTAGAACTGAACGTGCACATTGTAGGTGTGAGGTCACTGTCATTTGCTATTATTTACAGAGTGTTCTCCTATCTGTTATGGCACTTGGTCAGCTACCATGGCTATGGCATTATGCCTAGTTAGCAGATGGGGAAACTGGGCTTAACCAGAAGTAGCTGTGACCTTGAATCTCCTGCATTCTCTACTCAGGAACCAGTGACAACCTGTTCCAGGACTCAGAGGGGCGAGAGGGCTCTGAGGCTCTGGAAGAGCACCAGTTTTCAGACCTGGAGGATTCTGGCTCAGACTCGGACCTGGATGAAGATGAGGAAGAGGATGAGGAGGAGAGCCAGGATGAGCTGTCCAGACCATCATTGGAAGCAGCTCTGCTCAGCCTGCCAGCCAACCGGCAGGAGGACTCCTCACCTATTCAGGGCCCTCAGCCCCCAGATGCCACCTCTGACGACAAGGCCCCACGAGGCAGCTTGATCTCAGAAGCCAAGCATTTGACAGCAGGCAGCTGTTCCACATCCAGCCAAGACACCCCAGGCCTTCCCTGGCTGGGACTGACCCCACTGAGCCCTGTGGAGAAGGACACAAGCTCAGCCCTAAGTTCCGAGGCCGTGTCCCCTAGAAGATCATGGTCCCCAAGCAAAGAAGCAGGCAGCCTCCCCTCACTCACCCACAAACACTTACTCACCAAAAATGATTCGTCTCCCCAGCGATATTCACTGGCCCCAGAAGCTCAGGCCTCAGTCATGAGCATGCCTGGCCCCCAAATAGGCCCAGAAAGGGACATGGGCCCTCTTCCATGTGCATCCCCAAGGCTGGAGCTCTCACCTCTCACTCCCAGCCCCCTAGGAAGAGAAGTGCCCTCTCAAGCACATCTGCCTCCTGGACTCAAGGGTGCCACAGACACAGGCACTCCTGGATACCCATCCACCAGGAGATGGTCTCCGGGTCAGGCTGAGTCACCGCCACAGTCAGCGCTGCTGGGGAAATGGGCCCTGGCTGGGCCCAGCAGCCCCTCAGCGGGCAAGTGTGGCCCAGGCTTGGGGTTGGCTCCACGGGCTCTCCTGCAGCCCATGCCTCTACCTCACACACTTCTCAGCAGAAGCCCTGAGACCTGCACCTTGGCGTGGGTGAGTTTCCCATCACAGCCTTCCTGGAGACTGGAGGCTGCCCCATTCATACCTTCTGCACTTTGCACTGAGAGCCAACTCAGCATTCCTGGATGCTTAGCAAACTTCTTGGGTTCTTACTGTACCAGGCACTGTGCCTGCTGGTTTACTGCACTGCAGCGTACCCTCAGAAACTGCATACATGGGCTCTGGAGCTCATGGACTCTTTCCATCCCTAGTGAGCAGTGCAGCTTTGATGTGGGTGTCAATCTTGATTAATTCTTCATCCACCCTTCCCTGTCCACTTGTGTCCTTGGAGCAGATGGTATACCACTATCCCAACTCCCTCAAGGACATCACAATCCACACCATCCCTACAAAATCGTGAGCATGGTCACCAAGGCCAGCATTGCTTGAACCACTGTGCCCCAGTATCCCACCATCACCACCCACCACCCTATTTGGTGGCATCACATCATCTGCATTGTCCCTACCCTGGTGCCTTGCAGTGTCTGCACCACCACCACCCCCTCACCGTAGTTGCCACCATCTACTGCTGACACTACTTCTGTTGACACTTCTGTCACCCTGTCGCCATGACCCCATAGCTTCCCTTCTGGAGGCACAATGATAGAAGCATCTTTCTTGTTCATCCTGGGATCACATTCAAATTCTGTAGTGGAAGGGTCAAGAGGCTGGGGTGGGAATGCGTACAGGATCAAGTTGGACCATTTTAGGTACAGGAAAGGCAGCAGAGCCAAGGGAGGCCAGAGCGACAACAGGGCCCCCATACCTGGGAGCTCTTCCTGCAGATATAGGGTGGGCATGTGCTCATAGGTAGCTCAATGGGCAGCTCCCCAAGCAGACAGGTAGGCAGCCTGATTCTCATCCCACTTACCAGCCTTACTCTGTGACCTCAGGTCTGCCTGCCCTCTACAACTCTAGACCTCGGTTCTCCATGTGCCCAGCGTGTAACTCTCACCTTCCCCTGTCTTGTTTTCTGACACCAGCAGAAGACTGAATCCCGAAGTCCATCCTGCTCAGCGGGCCCTGCTCCTCTTCTCTCCTCCCGATCCTTCTCTGCCCCTCATGACTTCCATGGCCACCTTCCAACCCGAAGTGAGGAGAACCTCTTCAGCCACCTGCCTCTGCACTCCCAGCACTTAAGCCGTGCCCCCTGTCCCCTCATCCCCATTGGTGGGATTCAGATGGTGCAGGCCCGGCCAGCTGCCCACCCCACCCTGCTGCCAGGACCCTGTGCCACATGGGTTAGTGGCTTCTCAGGGGGTGGTAGTGACCTGACAGGGGCCCGGGAGGCCCAGGAACGAAGCTGCTGGAGTCCCACTGAGAGCTCATCAGCATCTGTGTCCCCAGTGGCCAAGGTCTCCAAGTTCACACTCTCCTCAGAGCTAGAGGAGGACAGGACTGGCAGAGGCCCTGGAAGACCTCCTGATTGGGAGCCCCAGAGGGCCGAGGCCCCTGCAGAACCCACAGCCACACACAGCCCCTACACCCCACGGCTGTCCCGGGGCCACCAGGTGACACCATCCTGGAGCCCATGCTTGGAATCACCACACACGCTGGCCAACCGCAAGGCCTCAACTTCCCCACCCCTGGACCGCAGCAGCTCCGTGGACTGCCTGGCAGAGGCCTCCACTTGCTTCCCAGCCCGAAGGAGGAACCTCTCTGGTGAACCCAGGACCCAGCAGGGCTCCCCTGAGCCCTCAGGTAGTGGGGAGCCCAGGACACCTCTAGCCCTGCCCAAGGACAGTGATCCCCCAAGCACTTAGCCTCTCCAGCCACTTCAGCATCTGGTTTCCAGTGTTCAGAAACAGACATTTCCAGCCGACTTCTTGGAGTCTTCTTGCTCCCACAGGCACCCTCTCCCATCTGTCCATCTGTCCACACAGCTTCTGCTCAGCCATCAGTTATACTGTCCCCACGTATGCAGTTACCTGTGCCTTTTTCTAGACCTTTTGTTGCTTGAAAAAAAAACCAACAACAACAACACAAATCACACACATCCATAAAATCAACAACAACAAAAACAGACCCAGAAGGAGCTTGAGGCTGTGACTAGTTTGTGCTTTGGTGTTACGATGCTGTAGGAGGGGCCTCCTCGCCTCCACCACCACACTCCACACTGGGCAGCAGTCCCTACCCAAGGCTCATGAGAGGCAACATTGGCTGAGGGAAAAGGTATGTGCTGAGAGAAAAGAAAAAAAAAAACTTTTTAAAAAACATATAATTAAGCTCAAAGGCAAGCAGTCCTATGAACAGGTGTTTAAGGTTCCTATTTATAACTGCTGTGCCCACTCCAGTTAGTGGCCACTCCTCTGTGCCAGTAGAAGACCAGTGCTCTGAGGCAGAGAACACAAACAGGCAGGAAGTCTGCCTCCCTACTCCAAGAACATCCTCTTTTTTAAATTTTATTTTTTTAAAAGCTTCTTTTGCAAGACTCTCAGCACAGCAGGAGCAGGTAGGAGCCTGGATAGTGTGAACTGTAGGGCTCACCTCCCTCCTGCACCCCACCTGCCCCCAAGCTGGTAAAGGAACCCTAACTGTTTGCTTTGCCCAACATTCCTATAGGCCTCTGCCTCCTGGCCCTGGCCACAGGCTGCCTCCTTTGTGCTCAGAAATATCTACAGGGTGAAGGGGCCAAGCCAAGACTAGGGACTGTCCCTGAGTCTGGGGTTTGGAGTCTGTTTTACCTCAGTCCCTGGGGAATGTGGTACCCCATTTCCTTCATGGCTGGACTGCATATATGTATATATACACATATGTATATGTATACACACATAAAAGTCTAGAAAGAAAAGATGATGTTTGGTACTTTCCAGACTTCTCAGATTTTCTTCTCTTGACTTAAAGAATTATGAATTGTCCCCAAACATTGAATTTTTCCCTAGTTCCCTTTGTAAAAACTTGATTTATTTTTTTAAAGTAATCTGACCAAAATATTTGAATCCCAAGTTGAAATCTGAAACTTGAGCTGTAGCATGCTTACCCCAAACAAAGACACGTAAAGCAAGCACGCCTCGGCACTAAGTGCTCCCTGGCACAGACGCTATGGTTACTGTTTCTACAAGGGAGTGTGGTATATGCCCCCCATAGAACCTTCCAGAAATGATTTTCTTCACCTTCTCTGAGGAGGATAGAGAATAAGGACCATGGTCACACCCCACATACACTGGGTGCTGATTGCCACCTTACAGAAAGCAAAGGCCTATCTGGTTGGTCTCTGAACTTCAGCCAGGCCATGTGGCTGAAGGCTCATGGGAGGGCTGTGCTGACAAGGCTGTTTAACAGGGAAGATGGAGACTTGGCTGTTAATTCCCATGCTGGGCCACCCCTCTCCCTCCCTTTACCTCATGCCCTTATGTGGCCCTTGTGGATGGACAAGCCAGACACAGACCCAGTGCCTAGCCTAATCACCTGTTCATTCTCTTTGCCTGACCTCAGTGCTTAAAAATAAAGAGTAAGGTAGAGCCTCGCTGGGGTCCACTGTGCTGCAGGGTGCTTGGGGTATTGGGCTAGCCAGGAGTTGCCAGATGGTTGACGCAGTCTGTCTCCTGCCCCCCTGGGAGAAGCTTTCAAGCTGGAACACTGAAAGACAGTGGGCAGAAGCCTGGCCAAAGGTTGCAGCTCTCTTCCCTGCCACTGTACAGCCCTAACCCACAGGCCCCACAGATTGGAGACACCCAGAGCTGAGGCCTGGGATCTGGAAAAAGAGCACAGTCTCAGCCAGGCATGAATCCTTCCTGGGCAAGATCTCTCAGCCACAGATTGTGGGACTAGCCCCTGACCTTGGGTTATCTACCCCCTCCTCACCACTCTATACCCAAACTGTCCTGGAAATCACCCCCTCTGACTCCACTACCCATGAAGGGCCCCTTTCCTCGGCAGGCTAGTGGCAGACAGTGTGACCAGGGGAGAGTCCCCAGTTACTGGCTCAGCACACTTGGGAAAAAGGGGTATAGCAAGGGTCAGGAGTCGCTGAGACCTACTTCTAGGTGACAGGGATAGAATACACAAATAGAATCTGATCAGAGGACAACTGTCCCACACAGGTGCCCAGATGGCTACAGTGGATCACCAGACACAGCTCTAACCCGCTCTGCCACACTCTCTCCCCTCCCCGAACACAAGGCCCCAGCCTACACCCACACCTTCCCGGCCTGGAAAACATCTCACTCCACACATGCTGTTTGGGATACTGGCCCATAGCCAGTCACTTCTGAGTTAACAGTCTGCCTGTGACACTATTGTCAGAGATTATGGTCTAGTACAAACCTGTGTGGGGCTCTACTGGCATGCACCAGAACCAGCTGGCCATTCCTTGACACAGGAATGACAGTAGGGAACGTCTCAAGTCAAACCCTGCCCCTGCCCAGGGTGTGGGGTTCCAAGTCACCTGTCCCTCAGGCCTGACCCACTGATGCCCTTCCCTGGGAACCTCACAGTCATTCTGGGTACCACTGAAAGTAGGCCTACTCCATCCCATTAACCTATCATAGACTGCACTCTGATCCCAGCCACCAAGACCCTTCCCAGTCCCAACAGCAGCGAGCTGCCTGTTCTTCCAGACACAAACTGTCTCTGCCTGCCTCAGTGGGGATACCTCGGAGCGAACTGGCTCCCAGCTTCTAGACATCGCTCCTTTCCCACCTGACCCAGTGAAATGGGAAGTAATATGTCCGAGCCGGAACCCCTTCTAGTCCCTGCTCCAGTCGAATCTCTCTTCCACCAGAAGTCCTAGCTGAGCCTCCATCCTCAGAGACTGATCTGCAACTGCCGTGTTCAGGAAAGTTCCCAAAGTCTGTGCCGCCAAATCTGCTTCTGTGCTGTGCTTCCTGTCTGCTTCGCATTAGCAAACCGCTTGTGCACTGCTGGTCACTTCACCCAACGTAGTGGTCAAGAAGAAAGGAAATGGGAAAAAGAAATCATGTAGGCAAATGTAAGATACTTGCTCTCTGTAAGATAAATATTTGCCTTTTGTTTTTCTAAAAGGTGTATGCATTCTGTAGGTGAAATTGTCTGTAGAGAGTTTCTACGTTCTTATATGGCAATACATTCCAAAAATCGTACTGTAGATATGTACAGCAGCCGCACTGGAAAGGGGTAGTGTTGCCTGTGATTTTATTTAAACTCCAGTTTTTACACTTGCATCTTGCAGTTGTTGGTATGGTATATATCAGTGCAAAAGAAAAAAAAAAACTCAAACAAACAAAAAAGAAGTCCACGCAGGTCTAAAGCACAGAGTTTCACGTACAAAAGGAAAGATGCTCAGTATTGATGTGTGACCCTTGTTGTAAATCCCATCTGTACTGTGAATGAGAAGTTTTTACAAGTATAATAATTGCCTTTATTACAGCTTGGGCTGAGTGTTCAGCCTGAGGATATTTTTTAAAAAAAAAAATAGCACGTTGGAATAAATTTGAAAATCCCAACATAGCCCTGTTGGCCTGGCTCATGGCTTTTCCTCCTCTTTTTATTTTTATTTCTGTGTATGTGTCTGTGTAAGTATATGCCACATGTGTGTGGGTACCCACAGAGGCCAGATGAGGGTGTTTAATCTCTTGGAGCTAGAGTCACAGACAACTGGGAGTTGCCCCACATGGGTGCTGGAGAACAAACTCAGGTCCTCTGCAATTGCAGAGAGCACTCTTAACCGCTGAGCAACCTTACCAGCAACTTTTCTTTGAGGATTATAGAATAACAGGGTTGGAGGAACATGGAATGTCTATGCATTCATTTTATTACACACCAATCAGGCCTAGAGAGAATGACTAGGTCACAGTCACACAGCCTGGGCCTCGCTTGCGGCCCTTGCTTCCAGGCCTGACAACGAAGGCCCCAATACATTCCCATGGGAAGGGAGCCTAATTCATCCCACAGGGCTACCATAATGAATTGTCGCCTGGCTTTAAACAGCAGGAATGAACTCCACACAGTTCTGGAAGAGAGAATTCTGAGGTCAGGCCATTCCAGAGTTGATCCCTTCAGCAGATTCCTGAGATTTCAATCCCTGCCATTCTCCAACTTCTGGAGGCTGCAGGCAAGCCATGATCTTCCTGGCTCTTAAGACTCGTCCAGCCTCTACCTCCTCCACATTTCACCCTAACACATTCATCACGGGACTGAGAGCCCCACACTGGTCCAGAATAGTCTCAAGATCCTTAATGACAGCTGCAAAGACACCTGTTCCAAACAAGGTCACTCCAACAAATTCAGGAATTTTGATACGATAATGTTTGAAAGCTACCATTCAACAAACTACAGGACAGAACCTAAATTCTGATCCTGGTACAGCCACTTATTGACTACTGTGTGAGCTTCGGAAGGTCACCTAACTGTTTCCTCACTGAAAAGTGAAGGGAAATTTTCTATGATCACAGGGAAGTTGTGAAGATTAAAGGAGATGATGCACGCAGAAAGGCCCATGACACCTTGAACACAGTAGGCCTCCAACAGTTTGCGCACAGCTTTGAAAGGGGAATTGGAATGGCTAAGATAGCAAAAATAAAGGTCCCCACCTGTATTCAGCACTGAGTTCCAAGGGAGTATTCAACACTGCAGCCATGAGGTGCAGCAGTGAACAAGAGATGCAATCCGCCTTCAGAGAGCTTCCATCCGAGCAGGTCACGGGCAGTCACTCTGTCATAGGCTCAACTGCCATAGCAAAGGCTCCAGTCCACAAGGAGTCAGAGTAGCATGAAATCTTCCTATTAAAGTCTCAAGGCTAGCAAGGAAAGGGACAGAGCCCTATGGGCAATGCAGAGAGCCCTCTGGGCAAGGCGCTGCACAGAAGTTCATTCAGCACCATGGCCCGAAGAGGGTGGATTTGTCAGACTGGGTGCTGACTTAGGGGAAAGCTGGCCCACCTGGCACATGGTGGGCCCTTCATAGACATACTGGGAATTGCATAAGTGTGGGTTGGGGTCACTGAGGAGCCAGTGAGGAGGTGAGAAGGGGGATCTTCCCAGGGGTCTAGGTGCAGGGTTGTGAGAATGGTTGACAGATTATGGGATTATGAACGCTGAGGCTGGTAGAATAAGAGGAAAAGCCTAGGAGTGGGACTTGGGAGCCCAGAGATGTGAATGGGAAGAGGAGTGGAGAGTCAACATGTCCTAGCTACAGGAAGTAGAGGATACTCCTATGTTGAATTTTTCTCTGTCAACTGAGTGGAGGTACCCGAGGAAGTTGAAAGTAAAACTAGGGAGACTTGAGAAGGCATGAAGGAGCATTGAAGGCAAGGAGAGAAAGCCCCGGGAAACAAGGTAGGTGTCTACATGTCCAGAGGGCCTCAATCCCTGTCTGTTCTGCTGCTGGTTTCTCTGGCAGCAGTCAACAGCCAGGCCATGGGAACAAGGAAGCTGCCAGATTCTCCTAAACCTGGGTTTTGCCAGCCTATGCCACAGAGGGACAGTGGCTGGTGAGGTAAAGAGACTGTTGGGTGAAGAGATGTGGCTATAGGCCATCAGGCTAGGAAAGAGTCGGACTAGTGGCTGATGGGGAGGAAGGCTGTAGTCACACAACAGGGGTTTGGATGTAGCTGTCTTAAACTGTTATTTCAGAGTGAGACCACTGTGAAGGAAGACTGTGGACCGGGGGCTGGAGAGACAGCTCAATGGTTAAGAGCACTGGCTACTCTTGCAGAGATTCCGGGTTTGAATCCCAGCACCCACATGGCAGCTAACAGCTGTATGTAGCTTCAGTTCCATGGGATCCAACACCCACTTCTGACCTTCATGGGCATTGCACGACATGGGTGCACTTATATACGTGCAGGCAGTGCACTCATACACATAAAATAAAAATAATAAGATAAATTTTTTAAAAGACTGTGGACCACAGCTGCTGGAGGGTCAGAGGCCAGGAAGTGAGCATCCAGATGCTGGACAGGTGGTACAGTTGGCAAGTAAGGGTCATCTCTGATGGTGGCAGGGCTGAAATAGAGATCAGGGCTGGGAGCCAGGGTGTATCAGTCAGGATGGGTTCTGCTATGCCACTGAAACAAGCAAGCCTGACACTCTGTGGCTGAAAGCTTCTTTCTTGCCCTTGGTGGGTGTCCACAGAAGACATCTACTCTCCTTTGCAACTTGGAGACCTAGATTGATTAGTAACTCCATTGCTGCATCTCCATGACCCTCAGATGAGAGAAAAAGAGAATGTTCAGGGACGCCAACAAGTGCTCTGTGAGGCTAATCTTCATTATCAACTTTATTGGATTTAAAAACATCTAGGAGATTGGTGAGGCACATCTTGGGTGTGCCTATGAGATATTTCCAGAGAGGATTTACTGAGGGGCGTAGAGGCTGCACTTTTACAGGGAGGGAAAAAACAATGGCCCAAAGGAGGCCATAGAAGAAACAAGGCACCTAGCAGTGGAATCAGGGGCTGTGAGAGGATGAGGAGAAACTAATGGAACATGGGTCTGGGGAACACACCCTGGAAGAGAGAAAGTGGGAAGAGGGGGTAAAGTCAGGGAAGCTCATCCAGGGCAATGGGGAAGTGGAGCCATGCCCAGCCTCAGAAGAGGAAGAAGAATGCAAAGAGTCTGCCAGGCCCTAAGTCTGGCGCTTTACAAAACGAATCTGTAGTCCTTACAACCACCCAGCAAGTTCATGCTTAGAGAAGACAATCAAAAGTATTACCAGTAAGAGGAACAGAACCCACCTAGGTGTGGTGACATGCCTGGAATCCCAGCACTC